GAACCAGTCAGTATTCATGAGCTTATAAATATGGAATCAATTTTTTCAGAAGGCAAACTAGAACTAAAGGATAACAAGTTATTTCAAACACTCTAAACATCAAAGTGTTTCATATAATACAGATTAACTGCAGATGAAGGGAAAAACATGCAGTTTAATCAAATAATACGATTGGTCAGCCAAAAGGTCTGTGTTCCTCCACTGCTGTCTCTACTTCTTTAAGCTATACTATGTTCTTCACCGTTTCACTACAGATATAATATTCCCATTATGTAACAGGCAAATGTTATGTCAAGTCCACAGAGTGGAATAAAAGAGAAGTCAGACCAGATAATAAAGACTGGTAAATTTGACATAATGCAAGGACTAATTCCTTAGTGGATTTATTATTTCTCTCTTCTAAGGACCGGTTTTTTGTCTTCTCACCCCATTTTACCAGACACTAGGAGTGAGACTTTCTAATGCTATGGGACAAAAAATGGTTAGCTTTCACACGCACATGGTATCTGATAAAATTGTGTTTGGTAAATGATTCAATTTATGACTGTCTTTATGACACAATCAATAAAATATTATGTAAGCATTTTCAGAGTATAACATGTCCTTTTGGTCAACCTACATTTGTGTTTCTAGACTGTAGGTGTTCGTGAGGAATAGACTATTCTTATGTGCATTGAGGTGGAAACTATCCTGGAAAATGGGAAATTTGTTAAAGATTTTAATTTTAATAAAATTAAACATGACTTGAAAAAAAGAATGTTTTCATTAGACTTCTGTTACTTGATTTTTGTTAGTGTTTAAATATTGAAAGAATCTTCTGTGCTAAAATACTCTTGTGAACTGACCAGCTCCTTCTAGTCTTGGCCACCTGTGTTGTGACATAGAATATTGGACCTGAAAGCAGTATTTCAGGGCTGTGTGGACTTCTGGGAAATTATTCAATATCCTGGGTGTTTTTCATGGTCATTTTCTTTCCCATTAAAGCTAAGTCACAGAAACAGAGTAGAACATTAAGTTTTGTTTTTTCATTAGTTAACCTTCCATCCAGTCTGGACAATAAACTACGGCAGCACATTCCATGGCCTCCCTGTCCTGAAAAGGATGTATAGAAAGGCACAACATCCAAAGCTAGACCATTTGGGCCAGCTGCTGTGCTGTATATGTTAGACAAGTTTTTACTTCATCATACATTCGTTGCCCCTTCTGAAAGATGGAGAGCAGCAGTCCTGCCCATGTAGTATGCTTTGAGAATTATACAAATACTACTTGTCAAGTGCCTGGCACCCAGTAAGCACTCTCTACTGTAGTTATATAAAATTAAACTCCAAAGAGTGTTTATCTGTGCATTATAAAGGCTGCTGTTTTGGAAGATGAGATGGCAGCATGGATTATGACACTTGAGCAGCACAATTAAGGAAAATTCTACAAAGCACATATTTACTTCTCTTAATTTCATATAACATCAAGTGGATATGCTAATGCCTTCCAGAAAGTGTTATTATGAAGTGTGCTGAGTGAGATAGTGAACAGACACAATGCAGGCATGATGACCATGTCTGACACTTCTTAGACACTATCACAATGTGAAGAGTGGACATTTTTCAAGACCGTAGATTTCATTCACTGTATTTTACCACTTTCCTTAGCTAACCAACATGTTACCTTCTTTCTGGAATGAGAAGAGAGACTATCAACAGAAGCTTCTTAAATAGCTTCTTCCAGGATTTTCTGAGAGCTGAGGTAGATGACTTTGTAACAGCCAATGTGAAGAAAATGTGCAAAAATATGTTGTCATGAAGATCAGCAGAGTCTTTTCTGTAGGATGCTGGGGTTTGAAGCAGAACATGTTCTTTCCTCTTTGAAGATCCTTTTCATCTAGAGAACAGGGTCAGGACACAGCTCTCCACTACTTATTCCCTAGCTCACTCTGTCCTCTGGGCATTGGGTCTTAATTTCTGATTCTTACTTCCAACCAGGAGTGGAGGAAGTCATTCATTTTGTTGGGTCTTAATTTCTTAGAGGTCTTTAGAGAGTTGTTAAGCTCACCAGTCACTCACAAGTCTTGTTCTGGATACTTGTCATATAATCACTAAGCCATGGATAAGGTGGTATCTGAATTACAGAAGTTTATTTGTCGGCCTTGTGACAAGCTGACTTCAGTTGTGACTTCTGGTGACACATCTTCCTCCCTTCAGGGAAGAGATTCAGTGGGGGAGTACAGATGATGTTGTGATGATTCATCACAAGTCACACAGTCTACAGACCATTATAGTGACCTCTCTCTTTGCAACCAAAGCTCCTCAATTACATTGCTCCCACTATGCAATCATACCTTTATGGGAAATCTAACAGATGTGAAGCTATTCAGGAGACCAGACTACAGTCAACCTGCAGCAATGTGCACAGAAGCTGCAATATGGGGTCACTGAGCTTTAAGACTTCTTCATTCCTAATAAAGTAACAGTTTTCCTTTTCATCAATTTTTTCTTTCTTATGTTCTGTGTGTGATGATTTCAATGAAAATGGCCCCTAAAGGCCCATTTTCATTTCACAGGGAGTGTCACTATTAGGTGTGACCTAGTTGGGGGTAGTGTGTTACTGGAGCTGGGCTAATGGTTTCAGAAGCTCAACCCAGTCCCAGTGTCCCTCTCTCTTCCTGCTGCTTAATGATCCATATCCAGATGTAGAACACTCAGCTACATCTCCAGCGCCATGTCTGCTGTGTGTTACCATGCTTCCTGGCATGGTAGTAATGGTTAACATGCTTTAACAGTTAAATGGTGCCTCTTCACAGCAATAGAAACCCCAGCAAAGATAATATTTTATTAGCTTTTTTGAGAATTTTTATATTCTGATTATGTATTCATCACTCCATCTCCTACCAGTTCTATCTACTTTCCTAAGTATCTATCATATCCAATTTTTTAACCCATAAGGTCCAATTTGTGTTCTTGTTATACTCTTTGGTGTGTAACCTTCCACTCGAGGATGATTCAATTACCAGGTGCCACATTCTAAGAATGATTGAAAAGGCTGCAGGGAAACACACTACCCTTAAGACACAGGAGTTGGAAGAATCAAGCTGGACTGACCTGCACAACTCTTTCCTGCAACTAGCTCTCATAGTATTGGAAAGTGCTATGCAAGCTGTCAAGACAGAAAAGCAATCAGTAGTCTTAGCAAGTTGTAAAGTACATGAAACACAATGACTACGGCCTAAGTAACACTTAGGCTTTTAGGGTAACCAGTAGTCACCTAATTGGGTTTAGACCTGCTAAATAGAAAGACACTAATGCCTGGCTCACTAGCTGACTACTTGTAGCTGGTGAGGCCATGTTTCCTAGAAGAAAATTTAATATTTCCATTTTCTTAAACCAATATAATTTTCAACTGCACTCTGAATACATATTATTACATACAGATAACCCTCATCAGTGAAGAATCTTTTTGTGTCATACGGAGCCCATCAGAGAAATCCACAACTGGTCAAAACTCAGAGAACACCTGATCACATGATACCCACCCTCAAAATATATTTTTATAACATAACCCTGACATTTACAGTTTAGGGAACATTGAGAAATTGGAGGGTTAAAGATAGTAAAAACCAGAGGACTAACATCTGCTACAAGATAGTGATTTACATATGACAGAAAGTTTCACCACTGAAATTGTAACAGTATGGTAAATGAAATAAGACATGCACAATGAGAACACTAGTTAGAGCCCATGTGATGGGGGAAGCATCCCAGAGCTTTACACCTAGATGAAAAGCTTCAGGAAATGAATGGCTGCTGAGAGAGGGAGAATCATTCTCCAGAGACAAACTCCATGACACATTATCCATCCTTAGTGATCATGCATAAACACATGTATGCATAGACAACACTAAATGGACTCATCAGGTACACACATACACACACACACACACACACACACACACACACACGGTGTGCATGTGTCACAAAATTGAAACATCAGAGGTCATGGATTTGAGAGGAATTGGGAGATGTAAGAAGAGTTACCAAGGGGAGAGGGTAGGATGGAAATAATGTGAATACAGTCCTCGTGTATAAAACTCCCAAAAGGAAAATAAAATAGAAGCATGCAATATATTTTGGATTTTATAGTGATTCACCATCAAGAGTCTTTGGATATTTTTAAGAGGCACTAAACTTTAAAGTATTGAAAACTTTAAAATAATATGGGAGTTTTAAAGGTCGTACTGTATTTTATATTACTATATTAACATGATGGTTTAGGGATAAACAAAGGAATGTTATTTAATAACCATGCGTTTTTGTGTCAAGTTGACAAGGAATCATACGTATTGGCTAGTTTTTTTTCAACCTGACGTAAGTCAGAGTCACCTAAGATTAGCCTCAATTGAATTGGCTTACAGTCATATGTATGTGGCATTTTTTTGATTAATGGTTGATATGTGAAGGTCAGTCCCACTGTCAGTGGTGCTACCCCTGGGCAGGTGGTCCTAGGTTCCAGAAGAAAGCAATGGAAAACAAGCCAGTAAGTATATTCCTTCATGGTCTCTGATTCAGTTCCTGCCTCCAGTTTCTTCCATTAAGATCTTGTCTTGGGTCTACTCATTGATAGATTATAATCTGTACACCAAGTAATCCCTTTATCTCATAAATTGCTTTTGATCATGGAGATTACTATAGCAACAGGAAATGTAAGTATCACAGGCTTGAAGCACCACATTCTTCTCTTTTGTTTTATGACATATGATATTGTTATGCAGCCAACATCTCTTGAAATTCTGATCCTTCTGTCCAAGCTCCCCAAATTCTGGGATTGTAGGCATGATCCCATATGCCTGGATTTGCATTTTTACTTTAATTAATGAAATAATTATACATATTTGTGAGGTACAGTGTAACATTCAGTATATGCATATAATGTATATTATCTCAAAGTAATTGTCATCAGTATTATTTCAAATGTTTGTTGTATTTTTCATGTTGGGAACATTCAAAATCTTGACTATCTTGTGTGAAACAGAACTAGCATGTGTCAGACATGCTGATTCCACTATCAAACACAGATGATGAGTAACTGTCCTCCTGTACCCACTTTGGACATTAACCATATTTTATCTCCTCATACTTCCTGGTCCTATTCTTTAAATTTTCTACACTTGAATGAGAACATGTGGTGTTTGAATTCCCATGGCTTGATTATTTTACTTAACACAATGTCCTCCAGTTTTATCCTTGCTTATGAAAATTACACTATTAAATCATTCCTGTGGTTGAATAATATTCTACAGTGTATACCTACACACTCTAATGCGAGTTTTTTGTTTGATTAAAATTCTGATTTCTATGTTTTCAAAAACTTCTCCATTGCATGTTTCATATCTTTGTTCCTCAGACTGTATATTACAGGATTAATGAGTGGAGTAACTACAGAATAAAACAGAGTCACAAGCTTCTGCCTCCCAGCTGCATGTTCAGATGTTGGGCTCACATACATGACCATCACTGATCCATAGAAAAGAGAAACCACAGTCACATGGGGCCCACAAGTGGAGAAAGCCTTTCTTCGTCCATCTCTTGAAGGAACTCTAAACACGGCTCTCAGGACCAACATGTAAGATCCCATGATGAAGATAAAAGGAACAAAGAGGAGCAAAGAAGTTGTTATTGTCCAGAAAAGTTCCATCAGTGGGGCTCTGGAACAGCTGAGGGCCAACAGAGGGCCTGGGTCACATAGGAAATGGTCTATAATCCTGGACCCACAGAAGGACATCTGGGAGATGATGATGATGGGAACTGGGAACCAGAGGAAACCAAGCACCCAGCAATTGATCACGAGGATGTTACAGAGGCGCCCAGTCATAAGAGAGGGATAGTGTAGAGGCCTGCAGATGGCAAGGTAGCGATCAAAGGCCATGACTGCCAGGAAAAAGCATTCTGTAGAACCCAAGGAGAAGAAGAAATAGAACTGCAAGAAGCACCCAGAGAAGGAGATGACCTTGGTGTCAGAGAGGAAGTTGGCCAACATGCTGGGAACTGTGGAGGTGACATAGCAGATCTCCAGGAAGGAGAAGTTGGCCAGCAGGAGGTACATGGGGGTGTGGAGTCTCTGATCCCAGCGCACAGCACAGATGATGGAAGCGTTGCCCACGAGGGTGAGGAGGTAGACAGTGAAGAAGAGCACGAAGAGGAGGATCTGCCCTTCCCTGGCGCAGGGGAAGCCCAGGAGGATGAAACCCGTGATGGTGCTGGAGTTAGTGGGGCTGCTGAGGGTTTTCATCTGTCAGTGTGAAGGCACCAGAAATTGATGAATATCCTAGACATAACTGAGGGAATTTAAGTTTTGCCCAAACAGGAAACAGAATAATTTGCTCAACATCAACTCAGTATGAAAGAGGAGGAGTCATTTTTTTACTGGAGAAGCCCCTGTTCCAGTCACTATCTCTATACTCCTTCCCAGTTGGTGGCACAGGTTAAACTCAGTGAGCCACAGAGCAAATAAAGATATGATAGCGGTAGGAGGACTTGATAAGAAGGAAGTTGTTTAATAGAAACATTGATAAAAGAAGATGGGACATTGAGCATGAACAGAAGGCTTTGGATGCATGTATGGAATTCTGAAATAAATACTTTAAATATTTCAATATATTTGTGAAAATTTTCATATTATACAAAATTTCAGCATGTCTCTTATCTCCAGACTTCTAGATATAGAGTTAAATAAATAAGTGATTATGGTTTTCAGAACTGACTGGCTTTTGGCTCCCTTAGTCCCATAATTAGCCTGAATCTGAGATCTGTTCCTTTTGAAAAACATGGGATACTTTCTTATAAAATAACTACTTGGTGTTCAATAAAAATAAAATACAGGAATAATTGACCTCCCATTGCTAATACAGGGTGACATATACTATTGTAAGACGTCTTAAAGTATAATGAAAACTTCAGAATTAATTACAGAATTTCCACAGTGAGCTCTTGGGAGACAAAGTACTAAATGAATAAGAATTAACACAAGATGATTTTATATACTGGAAAACACCCACATGAAAGACTTCCTTCAAGCTGGGCGTTGGTGGCGCACGCCTTTAATCCCAGCACTCGGGAGGCAGAGGCAGGCGGATCTCTGTGAGTTCGAGGCCAGGCTGGACCGACAGCCTCCCAAACAGAGAAACCCTGTCTCGTAAAACCAAAAAAAAAAAAGACTTCCTTCAATATTCAGGAAAGCAATCCTATATAATTTATCTAACAACTTCCTAAACTACAAAATGTCAGGAGTAAAACTCCTTGTGTTTCCTACCTCAAACTTGTGTCAATGTCTTCATGTCACAGCCACATAGCCTTCAGAAAAGCTGGGTGATATTCATCTTCAACTACATCAACAAGTGAACACCCCCAGTAGCTAAAGTCAAACCCTGCCTGCCACATTTCTATTGACAATCATTTTGTTACAGTTGTTAAATACTTTATTACTTAGTTTTTCAAAAAATTTTCCAAAATACTTTGAATTTTCTTTGACATTCTCCTAAATCATAAAAATTATGCTAGTTTCATTTTAAACTTTACATTTATATATTTACTTGATGTGTGTGTACACATACGTGCATGCATGTGTCCATGTGTGAGTACATATGTGCCACAGTGCACATGTGGAGATTAGAGGACATGAGTTGGCTCTCTCCTTCCACCATTTAGGTCACCAGGGATCAGACTCTGATCACTAGGCTTGGCAGCAAGAACTTTTATCCATGGAACCATCTTGCGAGCCCTATATAACCTTATATTTAATATCTCTACAAACGATGTTATAATACTCTTTCACTAATCATTATTTTATCATAATTATATGCTTTCTTCTCACCTAACCCAATTTAATATTTTTTAAAAATAAGTTTTTCACTACTCTCTGTTATTATTCAAAATAACTTGAACAAAATCCTAGTTTTTAAATTGACAAATAAGTTTAAAATCTTCCAAAAGGAATATCATTTGGGGGTATCTCTTTCTTATATCCAAATTCTTAAAGATAAAATTAACTTCTTATTAAGAAAGAAGGAATACTATTAACTGGGCCCAACCAGTTAGATTACTGTTATTAATTCATGGGGGTAGGAGAGATAGCTCAGCATCACCTCTGCCTATAGCTTCAAGAGGACCCAACACTTCTTGCTTCTGTAGATGCATGCACTCATATGCACACTTCCCAACATATACATAACTAAAAACAACAAAGATGAAGTGAAATTTTGAGATAAATGCAGCAGATACCGTAAAAGATGCAGTAAAGTCAAGACTCTGAGAAACACTCTGAGGTACTCAGACTTCTGCCATGTCAGAGTAACTTTGACTCTTAGAAATACTCAAAGGTTTGGTTGACTCTTTTCTATCTAAATTGTGCAAAACAATCTTTGCTGATAATGTTCATGGCATTTCATAACTTAAGAGCTTGTATTTCTTGATTAAGTGAATATTTAAAACTTCCATTATTAAAACCTTTAATATAACAATTGCTAGTAGTGGCAAATGAGCAATAATACAAAGTGACTCCTTTTATAGTTCAATTTCCCTTTCCACTTAGAAAATAATAAGTAAGATTGTATTATGTTGTAAAAGCCTAGGTAATCTTGATTTATCTTAAGTCTGTTTCTTTGTTTCTATCCTTGTTTCATGGGGTAAAACAATTTTGTTAATAAGCATTTTTAAGTTGTACTGTATTATTATCTGAATTATTCTGAAATGTCCCCAAATATTAATATACCACCAACATAACAGAACACTTAAAATTGTCAATAACAAATAAGAATTTCAATTATGGTAAATCTCCCTTAGAATTAGAACCAGTCACTCTTAATGAATTTATAAATGTGGAATGAAGTTTTTTCAGAAGACAAAGTAGAACTAAAGGAAAACATGTCATTAAAACACTCTAAACACCAAAACATTGCATATAGCACAGATAACCGCAGACAAAGGGGAAGGCATACAATCTTACCAAAGAATATAACTGATCAGGCAAAATGTCTTTTTCCTCCACTACTATCTTTACGTCTTTAGGTCATATTATATTCTTGACTATTTCAACTTTAGATATAATACTCCCAGTATGACACAGGTACATGTAATGTCAACTGTACAGTGTGGAATAAAAAAGAAGCCAGAACAGATCATGAAGGCTGGTAAATTTGGTATAATTCGAGAACTAATTCTTTAGGGAATTTATTATTTCTCTCTCCTAAAGACTGTTTTTCTGGATCTTGTTGTAGACTGATTTCCACTTTCCTGAGGAATCTCCATACCGATCTCCAAAGTGGCTGCACAAGTTGGCATTCCCACCAGCAGTGGAGGAGTATACTCTTTCTCCACATCCTCTCCAGCATAAACTGTCATTAGAGTTTTTATTTTAGCCATTCTGACGGGAGTGAGGTGGGTGGGGGATGAGGGGAGGAGAGGGAACTGAGAGTGACATGTGTAAAAAGTTAAATAAAAAATATGAAAAAATGCAAAAAAAGAATTTTTCTGGCTTCTCTGTCCCATGTTTGCCAGACACTGGGAATGAGACTTTCTAAGGTTATGGAACAAAAATTATTTAACCTTCACATGCACATAGCCTCTGATAAAATATGTTTGAAAAATGATCCAATTTATAACTTTCCTTATATATAATCAATGAAATATGACATATGCATTTTCAGAGTGTAACATGTCCTTTTGATAAACCTTCATTTGTGCTTCTAAGCTATGGGTACTCATGTGGAGTAGACTACTGCTTATCTGCATTGAGGTGGGCATCAGTTTTTAAATTATTTTTAAATTATTAAAATGTTACATGTTACTCACAGCTCCCTCTCCCTTCCCTCCTCCCTCGCCACTGCCCGAACTCTCCCAACCCCTCACTCTATGCCCCCTCACCTGGGTGTCACAGAAGAGGCCTCAGGAATCTTTGGGACACAGGATAGTAGAAAAGTATTTATCCCTGTCATACAGATGGACTTTGGGAGCCCATTCCACGTGGAGGGGTGCTTCCTCAGCCTGGGCGTCTGTTTTTAATTGACAACATGCAGTACGGTGTGTTGTTTAGAGCAGCTCCCTCTCAGAGTAGTCTCCAATGGATAAGCTTTAAAAACTGTCCTGGAAAATGGGAAATTTGTGAAAACTTTTAATGGTAGTAAAATTAGATGTGATTTGAGAAAAGGATTTTTCATTAGATTTTTGTTAGTGTTTAAATATAGAAATAATCTCCTCTGCTAACATATTCTTGTAAACTGATCAGTTACTCCTGGGCTCTGACACTTTCTGTTTTGACCTACGAAATGGGACATGAAAATAGGATTTCAGGGATATATGGATTTCTGGACAATAATTCAATATCCTGGGTGTTTTTCATGGTTATTTTCTTTCCTCTTAAAACTAAGTCACAGAAACAAAGTAGAGCATTAAGTTTCATATTTTTTACAAGTTAATTTCCCATCTCGTCTGGACAATAAACTATGTCAGCGCATTCCATGGCCACACTGTCCTGAAAAGGATGTGTAGAAAGGTACAACTTTCAAAGCAAGACCATTTGGGTTCCAGGCCAGTCTCTGTGATGTATATGTTAGACAAGTTAAGACTTCATACATTGGTTTCCCCTTCTGGAAGATGGGGACTGGCAGTCCTGGTCATGTTGTGTGTTTTGAGAATTAGATAAATACTATGTGTCAAGTGCCTGGCATCCAGTAAGCACTCTCTATTGTAGTGACATAAAATTAAATTAAACTTCAAAGAGTGTTTATCTGTGCACTCTAAAGGCTGCTGTTTTGGAAGATGAGATGGCAGCATGGATTATGACACTTAAGCAGCACAATTAAGGAAAATTCTACAAAGCACATTTTTACTTCTCTTAATTTCTTATAACATCAGGTGGATATATTAATGCATTCCTGAAATGGTTATTATGAGTGAGACAGTGAACAGACACAATGCAGGAACTATGCCCATGTCTGACACATCTTAGACACTATCACAATGTGAAAAGTGAACTTTTTCAGGACCATAGATTCATCTGCTGTAGTTTACCACTTTACTTAGCTAACCAACATGTTACCTTCTTTCTGGAATCAGAAGAGAGACTATCAACAGAAGCTTCTTAAACAGCTTCTTCCAAGATTTCCTGAGGGCTGAGGCAGCTGAGTTCATAACAGCCAATGTGAAGAGAAAGTACAAAAATATATTGTCATGAGATCAGTAGAGTCTTTTCTGTAGGATGCTGGGGTTTGAAGCAGGACATGTTCTTTTCTCTTT